CGTGCTATGTGCGTGCTATGCTTATAAGTATAGACACTTAGCACGGACATAGCGTCAGCCAGAGTAGTGCTGTCACTGCTGTGCTAGTAAGTACTAGCACTTAGCACGGACATAGCGTCAACGAGAGTCTTGCTATGCTAATAAGTACTAACAAGCACTTGCACTTGGCACGGGCATAGCGTCAGGCTGTCAGCTATAGTCGTGCTATGCTAATAAGTACTAACACTTAGCACGGGCATAGCGTCAGCTATCGTCGTGCTATGCTAACAAGTACTAGCACTTAGCACGGACATAGCGTCAGCTAAAGCCGAGCTATGAGAAGTCGGATATAACGCCAGCTAGAGTCGGGCTATGCTAAATTGCCAATAAGTACTAGAACTTAGCACGGTCATAGCGTCAGCTAGAGTCGTGCTACGAGAAGCAGTACCACTTAGCACGGACATAGCACGACTATGGGGAAGACCATAGCCGAGATTGTTGTTGGCCACAGTCGTGCTATACTGATAACAGTGATAAGTACTAGCACTTAGCACGGACATAGCACGACTCTGCACGAGCAAGATTCGTGGTTTGCTAAGTACTACAACTTAGCATAGAACTGCTAGTTAGCACGAACATAGCACCGATGGGGATGACGATAGCCGCGTTTGTTGTGAGCCAGAGTCGTGCTGTGCTTAATTGCTAATAAGTACTAACACTCAGCAAGGACAGAACATCGACCAGATTCGTGCTATGCAAAGAATTGCTACTTAGCACAGACAAAACCTCAATGGGGTCGGCCCCGCCCTTCTTCGCCTCGAACAATGCCCAGCATCATCACGAGCGTATATGGACGCGTTTACCCTACCACTACCGCCTTCACCCGAATATTACCCCCGGTTATCATCGCCGTATGTAGTCTGAAAATCGCACCAAATACCGGCTATAATGACACGGCGTTCTATTCGGCTAAAGACAGTAGTACGACGCTGCCAGCCAGGGGTGCCACGGTCGGACTGCTCAGCACGTGCTAAGCATTCCTCAGTAGCCACACAATAGCACGTGCTATGCAGTCTCAGGAACTGCATAGCACTGGCTAAGCATTCCTCAGTAGCCACACAATAGCACGTGCTATGCAGTCTCAGGAGCTGCATAGCACTGTTAGCACCCGTCGCTGCTAACAGTTGCGACGCTTCTGGGAGGGGGAGGAGGTAACTGCTGTCCTCACTGCAGTGCGATTCGCTCCTGCTGCAAGAGGGCAAAGAAGAATGAGGAGAGAATGGAGGGAGGGGGAGGAGGTAAGAGGGGTCCCAGAAGGAGGGAAAGGGGGGGGGGAGGGTGGCTAACTGTCTACCTTCTTCCCCCGTATACAACGTGCGGTCACTATAGCTGTATTTTTTGAGGCAGCTTTCGGTTTAGATACAGCTGTAATGACCGTACATTGTGTTCGGGGGGGGGAAACTTCAAGAAGGTAGTCTAGCTGCATGGGTACCCGCACCCCGCGCTGCTTTGAATCGACGCTTCGCTCTTTGCCGGGCAGGAGAATGGGACAGAGACAGTCCCAAGGCTCCGATTGACAATCTGGGCCCCGTTGAGCAGCTGGTTGTCCCGGAACATGAGCGTGATGCCATCGCTGCCCTCAGGGTCGAAGCCGTTGACTTCCAAGGTCCGACCAGCGCGGAAGATGTTCTTCTCCACCAACAGCTTGGCTCCCATGGAGCCCCCGACTGCGTAGTGTCCCCAGTCGGTGTACAGATTAGAACACACGTGGAAGGTACCGAAGCGACCGCGTGGCATGCGGGACAGACACTTGTCGAACCAGTTGAAGGCAACAGAAACCCTCATCACCCTATCCCCGRTCTCCTYGTCGCCATTGCCGAGGAGCATCGTCTTCCATATYCCGGAGAAGTAGCAGCTGGAGATGGTGACACCGTACGAAGCMCCGACCACGTCGAYGCCGCCATCGCCGACTCTCGTGACTGAGCASCGRTCRATCCACACGTTGGTGCTATGCCTGATGGTGATCCCATCCATCCTCGAGCCAGCGAAGCACAGGTTCCTGACGATCACATTCTSCTGAYYCTTSACKWCGATGCCATAGCCAGAGATSKTCACCTTCTTCCCCCCACCGTCGATCGTCTTGTCCGACGAGCAAGGCACAGGCGAGGCCAGCCTGATCTCCCCGTCCTTTGCGAAGACGATGCGCAAGGAGCCCGAACGACTGCAGGCCTCGCGCAGAGTCCCCGCCCCTGAGTCGGCGTAGTTGACGACAACAGCAATAACCCCGGAGCCGCCGCCTGTCGTGTCCTTGCCGTAACCGAACGCCTGGCCAGCTCGGGATCCCGATCCCGACATGAAGCCTATCGCAGCTGAGGCCTCCACGCTGGAACCCGTCTTCCCATCAGGGACCGTCGTGCTGCTGCTGCCGCCATCGCTCGTGTTCATGCCCGAGCTCGGGTCCTCGACCTTGGCCCTCATCGTGCTGGCACTTGCAGAAGTTGCAGCCTGACGCGTGCCGGGATCATTGCTCTCTTTGGTCAGATGACTCAGATCCAGATCGGGATCGTGACCACTGCCGAATGCTATCTTGGCTCTCGCAGATCGCGACCAGCTCCTCGATTCTCTTGGGGAAACTCTAGGCTTGTCATCGTCATCGGCATCCGCATCTGCATCTCCATCGACATAGCCATGGCTGGCTACACCTGCATCTGCATCTGCATCGGCATCGGCATCGGCATCGCCATGGCTGTCATCCAGAGCTTGTCGACATCGCTGGGTGGGTAGTCCAGCATGACGGGGGAGAACAGAGAGGGGGGGAATCGACTCCCCCCTCCCTTGGGGAGCGGTCTTCTTCTGCTCTTGGATTTCGTCCAGCTGAGCAGAACTTCTGGACGACCCGTAGCGGTCCGACATCGCCCGCCTGCCAGGCAGTACGATTGGTATCCCGGCTACGTCCGCACCTTCAGGTCTATCCGCGTTCTGAGACTGAACGGCCACGTGGCCACGTGGAACGTCGAGCTGCATGTCAGTGAGTGCAATGAATGGTGTATGAGGAAGCCCCGTACGTCCGCCGGTCGTCGGGGAACCGGAACCGGACGAATCCGCCATGGCCATGCACACAGAACACCATAGTACGAAGCCCACAGAGGCCATAGCTCTACTCACAACCAGGGAGCGCCCTGCTGCCACTCCTCTCCTCCCAGCAGCAACCTCCTCCCCCATCATGATTGACGTTGCTGTATTGAAGTAAGCTCCGAGTAACTCTCTCTCTCTCTCTCTCTCTCTCTCTCTCTCTCTCTCTCACACACACACACACACACACACACACACACAC